CCTCCGTAGACAAGTCTAATCCTATAAGGGTATTGACATCTCCTCTGTCGAGGGAGCCAAAGCTTTTTATTATTTAGTTAAGCGGAACCAAAGAATGAGATATTAATGGAACTAATATAATAATAATGCATTGTTATTCTTGATAATAAAATTTTACATTTGCTTGCTAATTAAGCGAAACATGTATATTAACAGTATTGTTATACAAAATTTTAATGTACCATGTTTCTTGCAAATAAAGATATGAATATGACAAGGTTTATTGCATTTTTAAAAAAATAGATTTATCGATCAAGCTATTAGCAAGAAATTCGCTCGTCTACCTTGGAATAACCTTGGAATAATTATTAGTCAAGCCCCGGCGACCAGCAGATGATACAATGCATGCATATCGCTGAATTTTGGCCGCTGCGGCCTGGCCGCCAGTGCTCGCTTGGGCTAAACTCACAAATAGCTGGTGAGGCAGAAATATCTGCCCTTTGCTGTTCCAGCTATCGTAAACTTGGCAGTTTGCACTGATAGGCCTACGTCAGCCAAGGGCGGATCCAGATGGGGGGTCATGGGAGTCATGACCCCTCCCCCCCCCCCCTGGGCTGGGTCCATCTGTACCCACTTCATAATCTGTATCCATTGTGACTTGACCACGACTATATGACCCCCCGCCCCCTGGCGCCAAAGCTGGATCCGCCCTTGACGCCAGCTCTACAATCACAACCACCAATTAAACACATTGAACAACAACTAGGCCTGATTATGGCATGATTCTCTAAACCTAAACTAAATTTGATAACTATTTTTCCTTATCATGCTCTATATAGAATGAAAACCAAGACTGCTGTCGAATTTTGTTTTAAGCTGAGAGAATAATGCCAGATCAGATGAAATAAGGAATTTGAAAAGAAAATCTCAGTTTTGTTTTCAAAGTGCGATGTAGCACATTAATCTGATTAAGATACCAATGTCTAGCGTCCATCTGCTCGTATCAAAGCACGCGTGAGCAGCGGCTATCTCCGCGAGTGGCCGCTTTAAGTACACGTCATAGATTATACAGAAGACAGAGTAAGCACACGAAATACCTATCCATCATCCGTTATCTAGATTTTAGATGAACTCCGTAGGCACTACGCAACTAACCACCTTAATTGTGAAAACTAGATTTTCTGAATATGATTAGTGGTTTAAGAGTAGATTCTGGAATAGGCAGTACATATATTTTCGCACAGAACAAAGATATAATAATACAATATTATGTTACAGAAGAGACATTGATTTTCAGGTATGATGGCCACTTAACGCTATATTCGCTCCTGAAAATAGTAGCCATGCTTATTTGCCAATAATATGAATAAAAAAAATAACATCAATTTGCTAAATTCTCAATCGAGATTTCGCAAATTTGCTGCAAGTGGATCTAATCAATAAAAACGAGCAGCAGATACGCACAGCACTTCCACTACGGACACAATTGCATCTACCAATATCAGGGATGCGATTACTAGAATTTCGGCTGAGTTAATATTATCGATTCTGCCGCTTTACTTCATATCAGGTGGGGTAGGATAAAAAAATGGAAGTGGATTTTTTTATGGTATCTGAAACTCGTTGATGTCTTTTGTGTGCAATTCTATGTTCAAAAACTGTTTTTAATTTTCTCTATTGAAATGAAGGCAAACTACTCCGCTACGGCAAAAGATAATTCTACTTACACTACCATAATTTATATAAATATATATTAGATATTATTACCGTATTTTACATGAGGTGGGGTAGAGTAATAAATATTAGGGCTGAAAACAATTTGGTCCCATTCTAAAAGTCGTTAATGTCTTTTGTATGCAATTTTAAGTAAGAGCACTGATTTTGGTTTTTTCGAACTCCACTTCTCCTGCGGCAAAAGAAAAATGGCAAGAATATTAGTAAGCTTCGTATTAATATCAACATGCTGCTTTAAATTGCTAGCTTGAACTAAATCCGGGACTTACAAGACAGCCTCGCAGTACACTCAGTTTGCTTATATACCCTATGAACACTGAGAGATGGTTAATTATCCAAAATCAATTCAGATGCGTGGAGAAAAGTAACAAAGGTATTTACTACCAATTCCGCTTCTGCACTAATAAATACATCTACGTAATAACTGAGCCTCGATCGTATCATCCGTTATACGGTTATTAATGATCCACTGACTTCTAATACGGCGTACACTCTACCACAAATAGATTAATAAGCATTCGAACCTTATTCACATTAAAATAAAGATCAAAATTTGGAGTGAGTAATAGCCCTAGATAGGCATGAATAACTTTTGCTAGGTTGTTATTAAGTTTCTAACTAGATCAACTATAACATTGATATGTGCGCATCAATTGATCTCCGCTATAGGTAATAAATCTTAATTTTTTTATGAAGTGGAGCACCCAATGAAACGAACGACATAATTATAGGGGCAAGTTTTGTTTACATAGTAGTTTGACTGCGTAAAGATTATAAGAGCGCTTTCTGTCTGCGATGCGGAAGTTAAACAACCTCCCAATAACCGGCCAATGGATGGTGACCAAAATTGTCCTGAATCTCTGTGCTTCGGGAAGCACGTCAACCTTTTTTTTGTTTATCTTTTCAGTTCTAATACCTAACAATAAGAATATTAATGATCTTTAATGATGATTGAGATAAATTTATCAATATCATTATTAAAAGGGCACTGATTTAACAACTGATGTTTGCAAGGCAAACAAGTTTCTCTAACAATTTTTCAGTCCTATGCGAGTTTTGGCTAAGTTAAATGTATTTTTTGAGTAGACTTTAATTTTATTTTTATTCTTTATTATGACAGCGGTTACAGTTATTACTGTAATGCGTATTGATTCGCATTCTGTGAAATTTCAGGTGTCTGTTTACCCATTTCAGTTCAAACGATAGAACCCTTTTTTTTATAACACAGGTAAAAAATCTTTTTTACAGACGACGGCGCCTTTAAGAGGCGCACCGCCGAACGGACCTCACACCTGGCTCCCGCAAGTCTTACGGACACCCAGTGGCTGACCACCGAGGACCCCGCAACTCTTACGGGCGCTTTACAGCATAATATCCGCTAAAAAAGTCCTGCGAATACCTTCTACACTGCTTAATGTGAAGCCGCGGGGTCTCCGTTAGGGATTCTACCACGACTCCGCACCCAGCAGCTTCCCGACCTCGCCGGGGCTCCACGGCAGGGGTCTCCCAAGGTATTGCAGGGACCCTGCAGACGTGCGCAGGTAGGTCCGCGTGGGGGCTGGGTACGCGGCCTAGTGCTGCTGCGGAAGGGCTTCTGGGGCGTACCCGTCCCAGAACCATCCGCCCCCCCCCCCCCCCCCTTGTAGGACAAAACTACAAGAGGAGGGCCGCCGTTCCTGGGAGGGGGGAACGGGAGGTGAAGTGTAGTTCTTCCGGTCCCTCTCCCCCCTCCCGGTCGCCCGCGTATCCTCGCGTCTTCTCCTAGAAGAAGAGGGGGGAAACGCGGGCGACAGCATTCGTGAAACGATAGAACCCTGTGAAAGATTTGTCTTTATTTTGGTAGGGAATCCTTTTTTATGTTAAAAGGGTAACAAACAAGCGTATAGCCCATCTGATGGTAAGCGGCCCCAACATAGCCAGTCGCCAAAAATATCACTCGCACCGTTGTAACACTACCAAAAGTAAGTGTCATTTTATTGTGATCTTCTGTAAGGTGAAAGTTTCTTCCCCAGACGGCCGCTCCAATTACTAGTAATAATAATAATTTCCACACACACTAATTGGAGCAGGAAATCCGCTATGCCCTACTCACTTAAAACTAATCTCAATCCTAATAAAAATCAACCCTGTGCAAGTACACATAGCCGCCATCTATTAGACTCTCCACTTATTGCAAAGTAAGTACAGCGTGCTGCGAAGTGAAAGTCTTTACGAAACACAGTTAAAGATCACTTCTTATCAGTTTTTGATAAATCGCAACAGATGGCGTTGATGACACCTTAATAATATTGTTATAAATTATAATAATGCTTCTTCCACACCTGCGCGACGAAGCTTTGGTACTAAAATGCGCTAAAATATACATTGTATGCTCGAAGTTGTTAGAATCAATTTACCGCGATACTGCTTGTCAGCTTAAAAGTTAGCTAATCAGCTTTATTTTTCACATATTGAACCCGGGCTAGAGTATACATACATGACAAGCAGTATCGCGGTAAATTGATTCTAACAACTTCTATTATTGCTATGTACTAGGCGAACTTCTTGTCGCCTAACAGTTGAAGTGGTTAATTTTCCGAAAAACGTTATAGTGAGTCAAACTTAAAAGAAGAGAGAGAAAAGAAAGAGAAATAAAAAAGTCCTTTTTTATAGAACTTCTAAAGGGGAGTAATACCACCGTACATAATTTTTGTGTAACTTTAACCGACGCATATTTTTTCCCGTTTTCGCAAGATTCTTCATAGACGCTCCTCTGTTATTAGTCGTAGCGTGATGTTATATATCTTATAGCCTACTTCGATAAATGCACTATACAACACAAAAAGGTTTTTTCAAATCGGAATTGGTTTCTTCCGAAGCACGGAGGAACTCGACATAGAAGATTTTTGGTCACCCATCCAATGACCGACCACTGCGAAAGTTGCTTAACTTCAACAATCGCAGCCGAACTCGCTAACCGAGCTAAGGAGGAGATGCGGCTCCTTCTGTTTTTTTTTAAGTGTTATATTATGAATTTGAATACAGGTTGGACGAACAGCGGAATAGGTAATATTAGGGTTGAAAAAGAATTGTCACCCTTTAGGTCTGGCTCCTTAACGAAAAGGTTAGGTTAGGAAGTTGGATCCTCATGAGTACGATATCAAAATTTTGTTCTGTAGAGAAATAAAAATATATTAGGTACTTTGAGTAACCCAGCCTTCGCACATTTCATTCGAATTGCAAAATTTCAATTAAAATTCTGAGACAGCAGAGTAAGGTACTTAAATAAAAAGCATTTCTACATACTAAATTTATTGATTTCATAAAATTATAAGTTAGCAAAAATATATCGTTGTCTTTTGCAGAAACCATGTTTATAATGAACCTTTATATACAAATTGAAAAGGACTATATTACAAATACCTAAGATATAAAAATAATTTCATTAATATCCATCTTACTATAACATACGATAAGTGTAAAACAATATAACATTAATGGCACTCATAGCCTTAAATTATCTGCTGATTTTATGTCAAAATCAACAAACCATTACGATTAATGTTTAAAAAAAATTAGAATTTTATTTTGCATTTTATATTGATAATGTACATTTCTTAGATTAATTCTGAAGTGTGATTTTCTAAAACAAGACCACAAAAAGGTAATGTTATTAGTTTAAAAATGAAAAAAGCACAACTCACATTTAAGAATTTGAAAATATGAAAAGTAACAGATATATTTCTCGAATGGCTAAACTTAGGTATGTGAATATTTTTTCAACAAAAAATATTGTTATATAATTTAGAAAAACCGGGACTTTCCTCCACGAGATGACGTATTTAACTACATTAACTCTATATTATGAAAACATTTAAGAATAAAGTCCATATGTTCTATAGTAAATCAATTGTTATTGAATCAGAGGGCTTTCTGAAGAAATATTTTTATTTAATTTATTTAATCTTTAATGCATTTACATTGCATATGGCGAACTTAATGCCAGCATGGCATTCTAGATTTTTCAACGTAGATGTGCAAAATGTGTATGATCTCTTATCTATTAGACAAGTCCGTCCGTCTGTCTGTGGTGCTGTTTCAGCGGCCAAACCGTAAGAGATAGATAAAGAGAATATTTAAGTTATAAGTTAAGAATAGTCTGATAAGACTATAAACCGGATTTGAGTAACGTAGCACTTCCGGTTTTCGAGAAATCAGGTTTTGGTGAACATTTGGTTCACTGGTTTGCTAGTTTTACTTTAATTCAATAGTAGTTTTGGGATATTATCAATAAAAATCTCAATCACGGCTTCTGTGAATGTATGGTGCCTTGATAAACGCACAGAATACAAATATAAACGATTACAACAAAGCATTGCTAAGCTAAGCTAAGAAAACTAAAACATTTCAATGTGGTGGACTCTTTCGTTCATAGCTCATCGCATATATAAAGCAGAGAGCCATATCTCTGTGGGGATATTTGTAAACAAGGTCTTAAATAAATAGCCATTACAGTAGAAGCATTACTGAACACAAATCAATATTATTCAATGATATTTATTGCAGTACAGTACCCCTAGCACGTACCAATATCGAATTCGAATAGTTTGCGAGTACGAAATGTCACTGTCAAATATGTACTGTTTTTTAGCTCCCGTTATGTCCGTTGAGGCGCTGCTGTTCGAGTTTCCATACAAAATTTGACATTAGATTTCAAAATGGGATGAAACATAACACTACAGAAAAGGTCCTTATAGAAGACCATTGAGGTACTTATTTATATAAGTTTATAAAAACGCAACATATTAAAACAGTTTATATTAACTTTATTAAACTAATATTTCAAACAAAACGTGTTACTGACATGGTTCTTATGTGCCTACAAATTAATTTCATTTCAGTATTTTTCATAGCACTAAATAATAAGGTCCTTTGCAAGTATGTTTTAAAAGCATACGCTAATAATTTTGTTTTTGTAACTATATACACATACTTAAGGAGTAACACATTCTTTCAAAAGAAATAAGCTGTTAAATAATCTACTACTTTCTATTTTTGTTTGTACAATTTTTTTTCACATCCTTTAGGTACTCAATATATTCTTAAAACATGTTGGATCTAATGTTGACTTTTTATTAGCCATTCGTTTATTCTAACTACAGAGGCCGTACCATGAGCTTTTAAAAGGAATCAATGGGCTATTTGACAAGATTTTGCAAATTAGTGTATATTGCATAGTGTACCTACTCCATGTTTATTTATAATTCTAGTGCTCATATCAGGAAAAAAATTTAAAATAAAAATTCTCTTTTCAAAAATGCCACGGAAACTTCTCTATAAAATTATGGCTTAACCAGACAGGTGACGTCACACGGCTCCATGCACGGCTCTCATTGAAACGTCAAACAGTACAAAGTAATGTCACTTCGACAGCATTTTTACAAGCAGGTGACGTCATTTGAGGCTCCACCAATCCTAGGCGTTTTCGGTCACGTGACAATAGATCAAAAATACTTTTCTACTTCATGATTTTTGCTTAGTAATATTATCAACTACTTTTTGCTAATTTTAAAATTGTACAATTATTTGTCTACTCGGATTTCTTAATGTCCTGTGTCCATATATTTGCCAATAATATTTAATTGTAGCTAATAAGTAGAATATTGCCGCTGCACGCCATAGCAAAAAGCTTTAATTGTTTGGGGTATCTCAACGACCTCATATTTTAAATTTTCTTTCTACACTATTCGGTTTCTATCTCTTCTCGTCCTTGTACCTGCACAACGCCCTGCTACACTCTAAGTAGAGTTATTCAATTTCATTCAAAAATATACCGATCAAACATAAAATGGACAATCCCTGCTACATACACTAGTCATTGGCTTAATCTTTAAAGAAGGAGCCTTTAAAGAAGAAATTGAAATTGATACTACTGTCAATAGTGAAATAGTTCTCAATATTCATGTTAAATACACATACCAACAATGGTACTACAATTTTCATACTGTCAAATAGCCAATTGTGATTGCCTAATCATCGCTATCCGAAAGATATATCTTTGGCGGGTACTTTTGAATAACTTTAACAGCTGTACTCAGAAACGTCAGTTAACATTGAAATTTGATTAAATATATTACTGTTACCTTATTACGCTGTCATACTAGAAAAATACAACACGTGGCTTTCATTGACATTAAATTATTCGTTGTATGTGAGTACGGCTGTAAGAGTTTACAGTATGGTCTCTGATCTCCATTCATTAATTAATATTAAGGCACATTTAACACATACAAGTTGACTAAACATAGTACGCACAAGATTATATAATAATAAACACTTTACTTTACGGAAACATTAAAATTAACAAATATTTATAGTCACTAGTCCCTGCCTTTTCCCTGGGAATTATATAGGAATCCTCTATAAAGTAAGTAAATTTATTAAGTACTTAAAATGGGTTTATGTAACGGATGTAGGTATCTGTCGCAGCACACAAAATTAATCAAAGCTTGCTCCGACGCATAAGAATTACTTTTGAAAAAAGATATGATTTATTTTCATTCGCATTTGTCTCAATCAAATTTTCATTTTCAATTCAAAAGAAAGGAAGCGAATATTTCAAAAAGGTACTTCCTTTTACTTTCTAAATTGATCCTTTTTCTTAATAAGGTCTTAAATGTTGTTTCTACATTTATTTTCATAAATGATCCTATCTCCATATTGTTGCAATGCCGTCAGGGCTAGCTTTAAGTATTTAAGCGATTGAAAGGTAATTAATAACACATTTAGCTAGTATCATAATTTTTGGCATTCAAACACCAACGAAAGAATGCCGAAAATTCAATCTGGTTATACTTACATTCAGCTAATTTAATTGCTTAAAATTATTATATTAATTATTAATTACAAATAATTTGGCTCAATGTATGTACATGTAAAAGTATATAATTAAAAATACCATTAATATTACGGATAGGTACATTATTGTACAATATGGAATGTATTCGTGACTAATCGATATAAACGAGATATCAATTCGATTTACCAATCGAATTTGTGACCGTACAAAATGGTTTGCTTCCATGGCAATACATTTTGAGCTTCAAAGCCTCTTATTATAAGGCGCATAATATCATTTCATTTGGTTGTATTCAATATTGAAATCGTATCGAGGTAATTTGCAAGTTGTTCCGGTCAGGCGCTCACGCGCATTCGTAGTTCTTTTTGACCTGAAAGATGGCACCGGCCGCTTCCTTAGCGATGTGTTATCTGTGAACAAGACCAAAAATTGTAGTAAAATGTATACGGATGATGACTATTTTTTTTCTTCGTCTATCAGGTAGATTATCCAAAAGTATTGGACACGTATTTTATCTTTTTTCGCATAATATAAACATTGCAGAGGTATATTGATTTGAAAAGTCGCATGACGTGACGTTTTGGTACAATTTTCACTTAAAAGTGACGTCACGAGCCTCTACTCCCAAACCTTGACGCGCTTTAACTTTGTCATTTTTTGGTTAATTGCCCAAAGAAAAAATACGTGTCCATTATTTTTTGATCATCTAACTGACGGACAGTTTAATAAAAAGTTAAAAACATTTGAGAAAGTATGATTATGGTGCGATAAAAGATTTCCTGTTCGGAACATACCACGGCCGATAACCAGAGAATTTAACAATGGTGTCGATTCTAGAGTGATTCTCTAAACTTAAAACTAAATGTAACATCAGTCTCCCCTTTTCATTCAGTATAGAGAATGACAAGGATGCACTGTTGTCAAATTTAAGTTTAGCTTTAAAGAATCATGCCAGAATCGACATCAATGTTGTCAAAATTAAGTTTAGGTTTAGAGAATCATGGCAGAGTCGACACCAATGTTTAAGTTCCGATAAAATTATTCTGTCTCTCTTCCGTTGATCAACCTTTATGATGGAGTGGTCTGGTACTCTGGGTTTCAAGGTGTCGTCTACTCAGAAATTTTGTGGGCGAATTGCTGTACGACGAATACGAACATTTGTATCGAAGTCATGGCTGTTCATACACACACATCAGTAAGATGGCCCGGAAGCTGTGGCGATGGACTGGGAGCATCCGCACTGGGCCCACTCCGCACTGGGACAATTCGGCTTTGGGCCCATTCCACACTGGGACCATTGTTCCGTTGTAGACCCGTTCCACAGTGTTCCCGTTTCGCACAGGGCCCATTTCGCACTGGGACCATCTCGCACTGAGCCCAGTGCGGATTGGTGGATAGGATACATTTTTTAATGAAATAGGGGATTGGGCCATGATACGCCCTTTTTTGTGTCTGGGAAATGCCTTACGCATCCTTCAACCAACGGGGGAGTGAGAAAAAGGTATGTGGGACTTCTCCCTGTCCACATCAGCCAGCCTTCAGGCTCGCTGAAGTGAACAGGGCCCTACCTACGCCCTGAACGGGGCCACTAGCAACGATATACTACTCCTGCACCGTCACTCGACACGCACTTTGAGGACCACGGTCCCCCTAGTGCGTGTTGAGAGGGTGGGTGTGGTCGCGGAACCTGTTTCCGGCGCGCCAGGTCCATGACACGCCTGGATGGTTAGAAAAAGCGGTTAAGAAAATGGACCAAAGGAACGTGAGCCCAGCAATTTTGTTACTTTATTATCTAATGAATTAAATTGGTTATTATTAACAAAAGAAATAAGACGTATAATAAAAATCAGTGTAAAGTTCAAAAAAGGTTCGTGTTGCTTAGAATCTTTTGATGAGAAAAAATATATATACTTACTATATAACATACTATATAACAATATATATACTTATATTTATGTCATTATATATATTTCTATCCGTTACCTCAGTATGAGGAACTCAGTGACACTAGTGGTTAAAGCATTTGGTCCGTGATCGTAGAAGGTAAGCAACTTTTGCAATGGTCGAACATTGGATGGTTAACTAAAAATTGGCTATCTCGAGTTCCTCCGTGCTCCGGAAGGCACGTTTATAAGTTGGTCCGGGCTGTATCTGCAGTCGTTAGCACCCACCAATCCGCACTGGGCTCGCATGGTGGGTCAAAGCCCAATATCCCTGTTCCATTCATGGAAACGCCTTTGCCCCAGCAGTGGGGACATTAATAGGCTGATGATGATGATAACCCAAGTATTCCGTAACACAAGTCGTACAACGCTTACTTCGGTAGATCCCCTCCCTAGGTATATTTCGCGACCTGACTCCAACAGGAAATATTTATTTATGATTTACTTAGGGCATGCCTGGATATGACGAAATGGGGCGGCAACTCGCGGCACTCCAGCTCTTCGGGCCCTAGCTACAAGCCGGCCACCATCTGCATAATCTCGCGCTCCTTCTTTAGCTCCTTGCGACCTGACTCCAGCTGGAAATATTTATTTATGATTTACCTAGGGCCATGCCTGGATCTGATGATATGAGGCGGCACCTCGCGGCGCTCCAGCTCGTCGGGCCCCAGCTGCAGGCCGGCCACCATCTGCATGATCTCACGCTCCTTCTTCAGCTCCTCGCGACCTGACTCCACCTGGAAAAACAATTGAGGAACGGTTAGGCTCTATAAAACCACTATAATTATTTAACGTGACGTGGTATGCCTTGAAAGTAATAAAAAATAATAAGGTGGCAGTGGCCCAGTCAAAGTTTGGTATTTCGATATATGGCCAGAGTAAAAGAAAGTTTGAGTACCGCTGTATTTGAGTTATGTATAAACAAAAAACTTCTAATTGCCAAAAGCCACACCAATGGGCAAGGAGACAAATCATGAAATTCTAATTAAAAAACTTGCCTGTTAGTGAGCCAAGGAGGAAATGCATTTAATCGTAACTCAATTCCGGTTGTTAAAAGAAACATCGATTAAGCCTTTATGCATTGTTGATGATTGCATATCCAGCTTCTACTGCTACTTTTGGATCATTTAAATGTTCATTAAAATTCATTTGAATGTGTGATAGCGTCCAAGATCGCGGAACTAAAGTCGCAGCAAGCATGCTCAATAACTGTTACGTTTAACAAGTCACACTAAGTTGTTACACAACACACTTGGCAACTAGCAGTGACTAAACTGAGCTAAGTTCCTTATGGCTTGTAGTATGTATAATGATTAATTTATAGTTCAACCCACATCGAGCATAAGTGAAACTGGGGAAATGCTGCAACTTTAATGCTAAATCATCATCATCATCATCATTAGCCTATTGATGTCCCCACTGCTGGGGCACAAGCCTTCCCAATGGATGGAATAGGTAGATTGTGCCATGACCCACCACGTGGGCCCAGTGCGGATTGGTGGGTGCTAACAACTGCAGATGCAGCCGGGACAAACAACAGCTTAACGTGCCTTCCGAAGCACGGAGGAACTCGAGATAAAGATTTTTGGTCACCCTTCCAAAGACCCACCACTGCGAAAGTTGCTTTACTTCAACGATCGCAGCGGAACTCGCTATCCACCTGCGCCATCGAGCTCCTCCTAATAGTTAAATATCAATTCGTATTTGTAAAAAATAAAAATAAAACTTCCTTGCGTTATTGCGTTAGCAAGGCGATGGCAAGGTGAATATAGTAAGACCACAGACATTTAAAGAGAATTGAAACGAGCGACCGCGGTCCATGCTTTTCCATTACTTCGTTTGGTTTTCCGAGTACCTAAAATATGACACGCTCGGATTTCATACAATTTTAAGCTTGAAGCGTTATCTGCTTAAATCTAGTGTGGGAGTGAGATTTTTGTCAATGCTAAACCATAGTTCCGACGAGAACTATTGCAAATCATTAGGTGACTTAGTTTAGATGTGATTATGGACAGATAACTAACTATAAACTTAATTTAAAATTAAGCTGCACCTTTGCCAAAACCCGTAATTGATAGGTTGACAGTAATTGACAGTTTTATACACAGGTAAACTTAAAGACAATTTTGGCATGTTCGTTGCTGATTTATAGGTGAAAAACTGGATTAAATATTAAAACAATTGAAACGAACAACAAAACGAATACACAAAAGTATTCCGAAACCGAAACATTCGCCAATGGTATATCATTATAAAATAAGTAGAAAGATCACCTTTTCTGGGTCAAAGATTATTAATGCACGATTGTTGAACACGATCACTTTCGAATATTGAAAACAATAATACCATTTACAAATATATTATTTGACTATATAAGTTAAATAACACCATAGTTATGGACAAACATACAAACGCGGTTGAGTGGTTCATGTAATTTAACGCCAATTATCACCTTCTAACGAAATTTCACAAAAGTAAAAGTTGGAAGAGCTCTTGCGATGTCCATTACTGATATTTTTTCACACAATATATCTACAATGTACAGCACACCCAACTCACATCGTCAAGTGTAAATCAATTTTTAACTCTATTACACAAGGTTGCTTGGCTGTATGGCTTAATCTTTACGTATGTTTAAAAAAAGAATTAATTCATAGAACATTTAAGATTAACAAAACAACTTCGGAATCGGAATTGGATAACTTTAAATAATATCGTAATTCGCACTCGTAGATATTATTAATAGATATGGGTAGTAGGTATACTGTTATAATGACCAAAGGATACACATTTTGAAATTTAAACATAAGAGGTAATAAACTAAACCATAAGAACGGATGGGAAAATCTCACCGTATTCAGTAATTCTGAATTGTTTCATGATAGGTAATTAAAACAAAGTTTTTAAAACAAATATTAAACATTTCACTTTTTTTTTAATAAAACTGTTTTAAAAAGAAATATTTACTATTCTTCAGCAGTACTTTCTTTCGATATTTACCTGGATCGTCGAAGATTTCAGTGCTTTTATCACATTTTTAATTCAGTACCCCTAGCTCGAACCATTTTCGAATTCATTCGAATTTGCAAACCGAAATGTCAATGTAAAATTTTGTATGGAAACTTGAACAGCAGCGGCACAAAGTACGTAACGAGAACTTAAAATCAGTACAGATTTGACAATGACATTTCGGACTCGCAAACGTTACGAATATGATTTTAGTTCGAGCTAAAGGGTACAGTACAAAAGTGACATAAATAATTCCTAAAAACAAAGCCTAATATAAATGGAGGAATCAGAAACCCGGAAAGGCGGCATTTCACAATATATAATCTACTGTGGCCGAACACTAATAACAAATTGCAACCACTGTCAGTGGGTGTAATCTTGAGTCAATTTGCCGAAGAAAGATACAGTAGTTCCCACGCACACGTATGTAATTCTGACTCAAGCTGAGTTGTTGAGTGTTGTAAATAGATGCAATTTAATCATGTGATACTCTCGATAAAGTTCAAGTGCACACTTCTAACTATTAATCCACTTAATGTCACGATTTTGTGTTGTTGAGCCATTCTAAGAGTAAATAAGATAAACTTTTTAACCATTCCTTAGCGATTGATAACTCCGCTCCGTAGTGACGTCAGTTAAACCGCTGTCCAATTTTTTTGCCGGGTTTGAATAGAACGCTGTGAGTTTCGTAATACCAACGATGCAGACGGTATACAAATACTTGATGCCGCAAAATCAATAGACTGTACTCTTAGCATGAAACAATATCGAATTCGAATAGTTTGCGTGTGCGAAATGTCCCTTTTTTCTAAATGGCTTCACAAGGCTTGTGCATTTAGCCAATGTCAAGTGTTAAAATGTTTACAAAATAATATAGCACTCGTGGTCAAAGTAATAAATCAAATCAAAGTAAGTGGCAGTCAAGTCAATCCCCCTTTCCCTATGTTTCAGTAAAAGTGTGGGGATTTACTGGAACCTCCCCGTGGACTTCTTGAGGGAACGTCCAAAGACACTTTCCGCTATTTTGTTTCACTTGCCAACACTTGTGCATGTTTCCGAATACTTAGTGGTTAATAATCCACCATTATTAGACACTAACATCCGCCACAACCCATTTTTTGACAAGAAAAACAAAACTGCTAAAGTGACGCTTCCCGATCCCGCCAAAAATTCTGCGAAATGTCACTGTCAAATAGTGTTGCCAGGTGTACCGATTTGCGCGGGACGTCCCGATTTGTACCTGATCGGGACGCATAATATCCCGATTAATAAAAAAATTAAATTACGGTAATTAATTTAATACTATACTTGCACTAGTAGTTTAAAACGCAATAAATTAAACCTAGACTTAAAAACCCCTTGTTTTTTGTTTACTGCCCCGATCTGCAACCCTAAATCCCGATTTTTTTGACCTAATGTACCGATTTAAAACAAATCGGACGTGGCAACACTACAGTCAAATGTGTTCTGATTTTTAGTTCCCGTTACGTCCGTTATGTCGCTGCTGTTCAAGTTTCCATACAGAATTTGACAGGCATTTCGCACTCGCAAACTTTTGGTACTCGATATTGGTTCGTGTTAATGGTACTGTACCCCTAGCCCCTAACCAATTTCGAATTTGAAAAGTTTGCGAGTGTAAAAAGGCATTGTCAATGTAATCTACAATTACAAGAAACCCATTAAGTAGTTTATAGTATAATGCTGCGGAACCCTTTGTCCACGAGTCCGACTTGCATTTTGCGGGTTTTTCATTACATTTGTATATAAGTACTTTAGATATTACTTTTATAATTATACCCATTAAACCTACATCTAGATTGAACTACGGCTCGGAGCAGGCGCCCCGACATTTATAACGGGCCTGCGTACTTAGTGGGTGTCATTGTCAGCTAACTTAATTATGCGAACTCACACACTGCGAGCAGTCTTACTAACGGCTTGTTAGCATTTAAAGAATTAACTTTATACTAAATCATCATGATTAGCACATAAAATAGAATATACGTATCCCACATACGTTTATTCTAACCACCCAGTATTTACGTTTATTCTAAATTTAGTCAAACTCCTTTATATCTGTTATGTTTTTATTTATTTTTAAGCATTTAACTGCTAGATGTTTAAATCTAAAGAAAAGTTTACTAGAAAAAAGAAATATTTAAATCTGTTTTTTTTTTAGTGTGTATGCTGTTGGTCGCAAATCACCTTTACAGCGTCACCCGGTTTGGGGACGGCGAGATCCTAAAGGTACCTCAAGCCGGGAATAAGCGAGTGCCTCTAGAGGTATTCCATCTTCCATCAGGGGAGACCCCCTCCTCACTGTCTGGAGCCTGCAGACCACTCGAACCTTAGCGGGTCGGCTCAACTATAGAGCGTCTCTGAAACTCGAACCTCGTTCGGCTCTAGTTAGCTGTTGTCGTGGGGCTTAAATCCCCCTAAGTTTCAGTGTTAATTTAAGAGTTTTTAATGAGTCAAATTAAAAAAAAAAGGTAAGGTGAGCAATAGCATAGTATATCTAATAGATAGATAAATTTAATAGCTATAGGCTAATGGTGACCGTGGCTTTCTATAAGCGGACCATATGCTAGTTTGCCACACTTTTAATATAAAAAAAAACAAAAGTTGCAGCTTCAAGAAGAATGTGTTAAGACACTGCTGATTAAATGGCAGTCATCCTATAATACCTCAGTAGCACAAAATTTGGTTTAGGATGGGTCTTAGATATAAA